GGGGAGCGGAGGCCAGCGTCCCCTGGAGTCAGTGACCAGCCCTGCAGCCCCTGTCCCGATTGTGTCAGTCAGGTTTTCCCTGCAAACCCCCTGCTCGGGAGGGAATTGCCTGGAAGCTGCTGCTGGATTCCTCCCCCGGCATGCTGGTCCAGCGCAGGACAGGCTGCCCCCCGAGCCAAGGGCCCTGTGTCACGCCGGGTGTGCTATAGCTGTGTTGTGACACGTTCCTGCAGGGAAGACGGAGGAGGAGTACCGGCATCAGCTGGGGAGCTACGGCGTCTCAGGGGAGCTGGCCGTGCGTCCCGTGGCCAGCCTGTCTGGAGGTCAGAAGAGTCGGGTGGCCTTTGCCCAGATGACTATGTCCTGGTAATTTTCTCCCAGATGCTGTTAATTTTTGTGTGGCTCCATCCCAGGAGCCCACTTCACCGGGAGGAAGGGGGGCATCCAGGGACTTTCTGCTTCCCTGCAGAAGCATCGTCCTTGGGACTTCTATGCTGGGGGAGGTTGTCACCCTGGGAGGAGGGGGCTGCATGGAAGGAGGCAGGTGGCTTTCTCCTACTGCTGAGGTGTCCCTGAAGCTGGGCAGTGCGGACCTTGAGCCAGGCATACGCCGATGGCTGTGGCTCTAAGTGGCTGAAGCAGCAGCTTGGTGGAGGTAGCTGAAGTGGAGGTGGCAGTGGGCTCAGAGCTGTGTTCTCTTCCAGTCCAAACTTCTACATCCTGGATGAGCCGACAAATCACCTGGACATGGAGACCATCGAGGCACTGGCAAAGGCACTGAATAAGTTCAGGGTAAGGTTCCCTCAGTAAGATCACCCGTTTTTCTATAATGCTTCCTGCAGCCTCCAGCTCAAGTTCCTCGATATCTCAGCCAGAGGTGGGCGGTTGAATCCCAGTCCCAAGTCCAGGACAGAATTTAGGAAGTTGTTTGTGTTTCTGCCTTAGCCGTCCATCCTGGTGGTGGTTTGTTTCACGTGCTGGTTTTGGCTAGGGGTGGCTGAGAGAGGCAGCAGCAGACCAGAGAGTACCTTGTCCCCTATCTTGACAGTCACCTACACCCTGTGACTTCCCACATGCTGCGTGTGGCACTTGGCCCTGCCCTGGTGACACTTGAACCTTTCCATGGCACGTTTCATGGCTGATCTCCAAAGAGTCACCTCCAGGTGTCACTGCGATCAACCTGGTTCTCGCTGGTTTATAGTCACTTGGGTTGGGGCAGTTTTCCTGTGAAAGAAAAGTTTAACTGAGGTTGCTCCTGGCCTTTCCCGGCCACCTTTTGACTGTCAGTGACCCCACCTGGAATCTCCATCCTTGAAGTTGTCAGAGACCTGGAGAGGCAGTAACAAACTGGGCACTTTCCTTGTGAGAGGGGAGGATAAATAAGTTACTGCTGCATGTGCCCTCCCAATATGTGATCTCTCTGTCTCCCTGAAGGAAGAAAAGGCTGGGATTAGCTCCCTGCCTGTGAAATATCCTTCAGTTTTCCCTGGAGCGGATGGAAACCTGAGGTCCTGGACAGGGGTGCAGGATCTCTGTGCTGGCTTGTGCTCTGCTAAGTTCCCTTCCCGCTTTCCCCCCGTGTTGTGTATTGTCAGGGTGGTGTCATTCTGGTGTCCCATGATGAGCGCTTCATCCGCCTGGTGTGCCAGGAGCTGTGGGTGTGCGAGAACGCCGGCGTCACCCGCATCGAGGGTGGCTTTGACCAGTACAGAGACATCCTGAAGGAGCAGTTCCGCAAGGAGGGTTTCCTATAAGGGAAAGGGGGAACCGGACTGTGCCCAGGGGGGCCAGAGCACCGCGCTCGGCCACCTCGGCATCCATCCCAACTGTGCCTGGCAGAGTGCCGAGGACGCTG